GACGGACGACGGAGCGACGATGTTGGCAGCTTCGAGAGAGAAGGAGATGAGGAAGAGAGTTCAATTGGGGGAGAAGAAAAGGGGATTTAGGGATTTTAAAATCCGTTCTCCAACAATTTATTTAAAATTAAAAAAATGGTAAAAATCTTTAATTTGGTAATTATTTTAAAAACAAAAATTTAAAAACTTTTTAATTTAAAAACAAAAGTATATTTTTATAAATAATATATCTCCAGACTCTTATATACAATCGTTGGCCAGTAAAATTCACTTTTTGTGACTATTTTTCTAAATAATTGAGTCGTAATATTTTTTAAAAAAACTAACACAATAAAAATATTATTAAAATATTTAAAATAATCGGAAAAGTTCACTTTTCTCGACACTTTCTCAAAAGAGTCGTGAGTTGTAGTATTTAAAAAAAATTAAAAATAATATTACCGATGCTTTTTTAGAATGGTCGGAAATATTAATATCTCTCAACTATTTCGAAAATAGTAAGGAATTGTAATGTTTGAAAAAAAGTAATCCAACAATTTATTAAAATATTGGTGTTAAGTCCTCTTATGCCAACTTTTTCTAAAACTATTCGGGAGTGATCATTTTAAAACAAAATTAAGAACAAATTTTTGTCCGACTATATATTAAAATAGTGACGAATATAAACATCTTTTGTCTATTTCAAAAACCGTTCGGAGTGGTAATATTACCCGACTATTAGGCAAAAGCGTCGGTAAGACTAACTTAAAATAGTTGGGAGTTATATTACTTAAAAAATTATGAAAGAATAATATAGTCGGATGGGTTTTAAATAGAGTCAGGATATGTATTACTTTCTTGATTATTTTAGTCAATAGTCGGTAAAGTCCCAACTATTATTCTTTAGTCGGGAGAAAAATGTTTGTCCAGTGTACATAATAAAAGCATAGAAAAAACTGATAATTCTTGTAGTGTTGGCAATCAATTTTGTGAACTATTTGCACCATCTAGGTAACCGATCTTGAACGACGGAGCGAGGAAAATGACGGAGCGAGGAAAATGAAGGATGATGGTGAATGCAAAATAGTGCAAATGAGATGAATAAACTTTAGATTTTTTTAAAACAAATCGAAAAAATAGGAGGAAGAAAGCAGATGGCAAAAGGACTTCACTTGATTTAATTTAATTTACCTAGAATGAAAAAATCATTATTGTACTAATACTATGCTTAAAAATTTCATAAAATCATCATAGCTTGTTGGTGTTTGGTGTGTCCATAAGTCTCTTGAATTCAATTCACTCTTGTAACTAAATATTTTTTCATTTACATATTTTAATTTTTTGATAAAACTGCCCAAGTCAGTAAGGAGATCAACCTTGATATTAAGAACGAGATAGAATGAGATACTTAACTTAGAATGGGGCCCCTTTTATAGGTTTGGGTGTCCGACAGTGTATCCGACCGGCAGTTGAGCATGTCGAGTTTCTGCTATTCATATCGGTGGTGCTGACGCTGATCGTGCTAAGTTTGTATCTCCGCACCCAGTATTTAGCTAAGTGTCGTTGGTCGTTGCTTGGGTGGAACAGATACCTATGACCAACCTATCGGTTAATCGTTCTGCTCTTCTAACTCGACCATCTCGAACTGTGGTGTTATTTTCCACTCTGCGTCCTTCACGTTCCAGTGTCGTTTTATGCCTCCAACAACCGAGAATCACTTTAATGAAACCTATTTTGATAAAAAAAAAAAATGTCCTATTAATTTCTTTTTTCAAAAGTCTTTAAATTATAAGGTATACAAAACTCCTCGTCAATTGCAAGCGACCTATAACACCATAAAACCTCAATATAGTTCAGATATCACCAACTCTGACGTAAATAAAGGACGAGCTAAAGGAATGTGTCGTGCTTGATAACTGCTTATCAACTGTCATCATGGATATCACGTTGGGAATTGTGCAATTGCGGAAAGTGACGGGTAAGTTTGACCCACGAGCCAATGTTTATAAATACAGAGGCTCGTTTCATACGCAATGATGCAATTTAAGTTCTGATCTCGAGAATGAATACCTTGGACTATTACTGATTTGAACGTTGGAGTCTTTTCTCTTCTTTGTGCAGGTTCATGCATAGTTAAGTAAGTTTGCATGTGCTCATGGAAGATCGCAATTCGGCAGGAACATTTTGCGTCATCTATAGGAATCAATTAAGTCATTAATTATTACCATGTTAAGCAATGGCTGACGAGCATTCCAAGCAATCAAGAAATTCTAGGTGATAAGGTATCGTTCCTATCGTTGGGAACTTCATAAACCCAATTCAACACTTCTAACGTGAGTTTCCATCTGAGGAGTAAGAGGATCAGATGACAAATCACATGACCAATCGATCAGGTGACACAGTCGGCCCTAATTGACCAAGAAATTGTGGTAAGCTTGCATCTAAGACGTCGAAGATGGCTGCGATGGCCTGTGCATTTCAGAATGTGAGAGGATGAGTTGACAAACTTTAAACATTTATACCATGAGATCTAGAATGAGGCCAAGGTATGACCGACCTAAATCAACCACTCAAGGGATATGTGCCTCACCCTACCCACAAAAAACTCAACCTTGGCTCAAGGTGTCATTCTATGTACGACCCTCAAAATTTGTGTCTAAAGGTGGATCTACAAATGAGGCTCAACACCATCGACCGACAATTCTATACACGAAGGGTAGGGTCACCAACACTACGCATTGATCAACGCCACACCCCATGAGCGAAAGGGCAGGATAATGGAGTTTCGAGGTAGGAGGCCAAATTATCATCAAGTAAGTACAAGATACCTATAATGAGTTTCTATGATGGGTCAATCGACCTAGTAGAGAACATGGGACCTACGAGTCACTGATCAACTCAAACAAGGTTTAGGTAACTAACGCCTGACTCCATCGCGAACTTCAAGCAGCTAAAGAAAGTGTTCATCAGCCAATTCTTGGCTCCTCATGATAGCAAATGGCCAGTAACACACCTCATCACCATTCAACAGTGGAAACACGATACACTTAGAGACTTCGTCAAAAGGTTCAAGGCTTAGCAAATCAAGGTAATCAATTCCCCGAATGACATGGCCAACTCAACCTTCATCACTGGCCTAAGAGACAAAGATCTCATCTAGTGCCTTGGCAAGAAGTCAGACACGATTTTTAATGAAGTTCTTAGCCTAACTTAGAAGTATATGGATGTAGAGGAATCTTGAAGTCCAGGAATCATAAGTTTGAGAAAAATGACAAGTGTCTTTTCTCTTAAAAGGCAAAAGACAAGACCAATGTATGCTCGGCTTGTCGATACACAGAGAAGTGACGTTCAGAGAAGAAAACGAGTCGAAAAGGGGAATTCTAAAAATACATGCCAGCCAAAAAATCCCAGTATCGGAGATTCATAGCCTTCGCTTATACATTGTCATTTTGATGTTATTAGGAAAAATTGTTATTTATTTTTGTGCATTTATTTTATGTTATTTGCTCACCTATAGCTACTCTACACATGTACCTACCTTTTCTCTGTTTAATATATTGTTCTATGCCCATCCATGTGTACGGGTGTGCATGCACTAAGGCCCTTGTTTTAAAAAATAGAGATAAGTTATAACAACCCGTATTTTCGAATACGGCCATTCTAACAATAATGCGGAAGCGTAAACAAATAACCACTATATTAAAGGAAAAACTTCTTTATTTAATTTGATACTATGAAAAAGATAAGGACAAGTCCAACCTTGAAACAAAACCTTACACTATAATGAAGCCAAAGAATAACTATCAGAACTAACTAAGTTCTCATAGGTTAAAAAAATGGAAAATATTAAAGATTTCCAACTCCTCATGTCAGAACGCTATTCCTCAATCACTATCTAAACGGTCACTTGAATCTTCATCTGAAAACATTTAGAAAACAGAAAAATGAGTACAAAAATACTCAATAAGAAATTACCATATCAAACATTGAAATTCAATTTTTCTTTCGAAACATTTGTAACAAAAATACCAACTGATCAAAACTTTCAAAATTCCTTCTAAAACATTTGGTATAACTTTTAAACTTTCGAACAAACTAAATCATTCAAACATTCAAAACAATGTTACATTCATTCATACTTTCAAAATCAGAGTGAGAGGTTGCATTCTTTGGGTAGCCTATAGAAGATATGTGGTTAGCCGTCGGTAACACCAATCAATCAGAAGCTTTCATCATTGTTGTCGAATTAATATCGACCAGAATAGAGTTGTCGAAATAATATCGACCAGAACAAACAGAACGGTTACTTAAGTGGAGGGTCATGCGAGTGAATAACACACAAATCTTCATT